ATAGCAATACGTCGTCATCTTGGTAGACCATAATGAACCGAACGATTGATGCCGGAGTGCGCGGGTACAACGGTTGATACTACGTCATAACGGGGGAGAGGTTGACATAATATCCCGCGGCCTGATTCAAGGTTGATTTTGGGTTTCGGGTCATTCACCATCAGATCTGACCCCGCGCATGACTTGCAGATGGGCGATTGATGAAACACTGAATACGCGATTTAGTTGTGTATCGAGAACGACATATGCTACGAAGATACCAGAATCGGCCAGGTATGCTCTAATATAAATGCAGTACGCCACATCGTGATCATAATCTCACACCACTACAACTCTTCGAAGCACTCTACTCGTATACTGAGAAACTCATTCAACATCACCACCATGTCTGCTTTCCCGACGAAAGTTCTGGCTAATGTCATCGGATTTGGAATCGTTTGGACCGGAGTCTTGATGTTGCAGGTACGTTCAAGTGAGCATGAGTAAACACCAAGTACAACGCTGATTTGAAGACAGCGATTTCGCTCTCAGGGAAAACAAGACCTTCTTCCCATAGATGATCAGAAACCCAAAACGCACTCTGATCAAGCGACTCATAACAAAACCCACGTTGTTAATGAGCGCTGGTATTACCCACCCGACATTGCGGATGATTTGAAGGATATCGACCTTCCGTTCCGGGTCAAGGAGGAGATCTTTGCCACAGCTTGGGAATACACTCGCTGTGTTATTCCTGAATACACCAACTGGTCCCGATATGTTGCCTTCATGCGCATTATCGTGATGGGCATCATCGCGGAGTTCAAGGGTGACCTCATGGACGTTGCCAATGACGACAACGTCGTGGGTTACAGTCTGACCGGAGTATTGAACACATTGTGTGGAGGCACAGCAGCAGGGTAAGTTCCCACCATCAAGCATTTTCGACTTCCCAAGTTCCTCTGCTAACATGTTCGCGTTTTCAGTGAGGAGATGTGCCGCGAGTACCGCTGCTTCCTGTTGATGTCGTCGCAAAAGTCCCGCCACCAGACAAACACTATGCTGTTCCGTCGTTATAGTGTCGCTCTATCCAAGGGCCCTTGGCAATTCTTCCGCATGCGCGATACTGACGCGCTCGCCCGCTTCACTATTGGTGTAGCGCTAGTCTGCAACGACCTCGACAGCATCTGGTTCACTGAGGAGCAATTCGACATCATGGCCGAAATCGGGAATACCATGTACGACGGTATCTCCTACTGGAAGCATCGTTCCGAAGGAGAGATCAACAGCACCTTCGCATATGTCCCGGAGGAGAAGCGCGTCTTGGCGTACCACAAGTGCCGCGAGGCGCTCTGGGCTCTGGACGTAGCGTGGGCGAGACAGCCCGAGCTGAAGTGTGTCATTAACTTCCTCCGCTACTTCGGTGGCCCAATTCACATGATCATGCGACGATACCGCTTCGTGGAGGAGGGTCTTACCCTGGGCCGACCCGAGGACCAACGCGTCATCCAGCAGACACGGAGCAACGTCAAGCTCTGGAACAGACTAGACGAACAGAAGAAGGCCAAGGAGCAAGAGAAGATGAGCGTTGAGCAGTACCGTCACGTTCTGGCGAATGAGAAGGTTTTGTTGTTCAATGGCCTTGCGCCAATGCTCGACAAGGCCGAGCAAGGCCTGTGCAACAAGTGCAGCTACCGTGAGACCTACGGTGCCCCGCAGGCCCATACCTTTGGTGGAGTTGTTCTGTGCAACGACTGCCAGCAGAATTGGGGCGACTATACGGAAACTGTGCTACAGCGCATGGTCACAGCCTTCCCAGAGGCAGCTGAGACCGTCCGTGTCAGCGAGATGCGATCGAGGTCTTCAATGGCACCGTGAGGATCGCTCGAAGCTTTTGACGAGAGGGTGTAGTGTTGGATATGACATCGCGGTGCCGTTTGTCTAGATTGTACTTGTGGAGAAGGCGCATGCTTTTGTTTATTATTTGTTCGGGAGATGTTAGAGAGGCAGACGACAGTAGTGAAAATGGTGGGAACGAGCGACCTCGCCACGTCTTGATACCAGGCCGGTTCTGTTTGTAGAGATAGTTCAAATGGAAGTTTTTCCCGTACGAAGTGGTTCTCTGAACGATGCTCTACAGAGCAGAGTTAAAAGTTATCGCTCTTGCTGCTCTTGCTGAGAAGGCTCAGATCCCGGGATGGCTGGCAACGCTATCTTCGCGATGCTGGAGCCAAATGTAGTGTGGCGTGCATGCTAATTTGGCGTATGCAACATATTGCAAGATAGTGCGCTGTGGTTGCGACAACAAATGCGCAGGTGTGCAGTTCGAGCTCAATGTGAGAAGACGGTGTATCCTGGGTGCTGTTCGGGGGAATTGAGTGTCTTGCAGCGGCCCTCGCTCTCTGGTGGGGGCGAGGCCGCCCCTGGAGCAGAATGGTGGGCCCGTGCCGTGCCTGGGCGTCGGGGACACAATCTAAAGCCTGACTTCACATCCGTCTCCCATTGGTACCAACAGCTGGTCTCACCTTGCTGCTACATCATTTTGTAACGACGGTATCCTCAGTGTCACTCGGCGCGTCTTCATTGACGCATCAGAGCACAGGTTTAATCAATCTCACGGAATGTTCTCATCCCTAAAACGTCCCCACGATGCGCACGTCAATAAAATCTATCGATAGCAAACACTTTTCATTCCTACTATATAGTTCCAGCGCACTACGCCTCTACAAAATTCCCTTCTCAAACGTCCTGATACACTTCGCAGCCTCCTAACGCCGGATCAGACGCGAAAGCCTCAAAGACATCCTCACCCACGTTCAAGAAGAGATTAAGCCCATTCTTGTACCAAGCGTTACCAACGGCCTCGCCATTGGGCACAGCCTCTGTCAAGGCAAAGAGGTTGGGTATGGAAGACGACGGGATATAAAATGACGGGCTGAGCGGTCCCAGGTGGAACTTCTCGTATCCCATATGAGCGACAGAGCTGAAGATAAGGTGTTCGTCACCACCTTTGAACGCAAAGGTGCGCGACGGGCTATCTCTGAACGCCGCGTCGTAGGTAATCGCATGCATTGCGGTGTCATCATACTGGCCGAGGGCTTCTGTGACTTTCATGGCCAGGTTGATGGGGTCTGTGGCGTTGGCTGGGTTACTCTCTGCATCGGGAGAGATCATTACGTTGACGTATGGTGAGCCCAGGAGTCCGTTGCGTACGCCTAGAAGCCAGCGGAAGCTACTCGATAGGTGCAGGTCGACTGGCGGCTGTTGGACATGACCGCGAGCACGGTTGAGGCACCCCCAGAAGAAACCAATCAATACCGCCTGATCGGTTGGACGCATTGAACCTTTTGATTGTAGTTCCCTGAGTTTATGCTCGACTTCCGTGGCGGGTATATGCAAGAGGTAGTTGTAGATGGTTTCCGGGTCCGAGGCCTGCGTGGCATCTGCATCATTGGGCTTCAGTGTACGGCGATACGGGCCGCGCGTGGGAAGCGTGCGAGCTTTCTCAAGGAGCGCAGGGCCCTCTTTTTCGAGATCGATCTTAGCGAGTTGCTCGTTGAAGATGTCCGGCTGCCATGACGGCAGGTTCTGGAGCCCATCGTTCTCGCCGTGAAAATTTTGTCCATAAGTCAACGACCAGCTTTCCAAGAACTTTGCCGCCGTATAACCATCAGCCAAGCCATGTTCAAAGTCGATGCCGAGACTGAATCCGCCGCATGCGAACGCCGTGAATTGGATTTGGATGCCAGGCGGCTGAGAAGATGGAGTTGGAAACAGGGCCCGGATGGAGGAGGGAGAGTAGTCCCATAAGAATGTCGATTCGTTCAGAGCGGCAGGTGGAAGCAGGCTGCGAATGCGCGACTTCGTGCTTGCTTCAATGAACTCTACCGCCTTGTCGCTAGGACTACCCCATTCGACAGTGGTCCGTTCGTACTCTTGCTCGTGTTGCTTCAAACTCGAAGTCTTGCCGGTTTCCAAGGTTCCAATAAATCGTGGGTAGACATCGAGTGTTTTGGAGAGACTCGCAGTAAGGCGCGCGACGAGGTCTTGGGGCGGCTGCTTCGGCTTCTTGAAGAGATATATCGTTGGGACTGTACGACGGTAGGCATACCATGCGTCCAAGATTGGTAAAGCCGCGGACTGTGATGGTATCTTCTCGTAGGACTGGGGCCAGATCTCGTGTATTTTCACAATGTCGACTTTCATTTTTGCGGACGAACAAGTTTGATGGATCAATTACACTGCGCCAATAAGACAATGATAGGACAAAACAGAAATTCCAACTACAATCAAGGGATACTGGAATTACCATAATGGTGGTGGGTGTTGGCCCTTGCGCGAAAGGGCCGGTCGCGAATTCTGCGTATGCCCCGATGATGCTCGACTCATTCTGTATTCCATGACTTTGTCCCGAGGTTCTTGGTGTTGCAACGCTTCTCATTCGGGATCATCTAGTTGCGCATAAGTCGTATGGAGTTCGGAAGATGTGGTTGCGTCGTCGTGCTTTGTCCCGAACTGCGATGGTAAACAATATCGGGCTAGTTGGCGAGTCGACCCTAAACACCGTGTTTCATTAGATCCGACTTCTAGATGACACAACTGCCCATCGCGACGAAAGAACTAACCGGAAAAATATAGCCCGCTGGTACGCCGCAGGAAAGGACTGGTCGGGACTCGCAACTACCCCGAACGTCGACTTGATCACGTGAGCCGGTGGTCTATACCACCTGGGCAGCCATGGAGGTCAGCAATAATGACAACAACATTCCGACGTCGTCATAAACGGAGGCGCAATGTTATGGCGATGGTTTCGGGTCGTCAAAGAGTTCGATCTGACGTAAAGACAGCATCGCGATGGCGGGTCAGCGATGTTTAAGCCGGGAGCATACGTAGTTGTGCATCCACCCTGATAGTCTTTTGGAACAAATAGCAATATATGCCTGAGCCTACTTCTTGACGCTTCTCTTTCTTATCTCATTGATACTCACAACCAAGATACCCATCACACCCGCCTTTTCATAATGCCGCTCTACTACACAGACACCACGCCTACGAACGGTATTCCGGACATGAACGGCGTGCCTTCTGATGCTCCTCCACGACCAAAATCCGATGACCTCTCGAATGCGATAGCGATAGTTGGAATCAGCTGCAAGTTCGGAGGGTCAGCATCCAACCTCGATGGTCTATGGCACACATTATCCAGCGGCGAAAGCTGCTGGTCGCCAGTTCCCAAGAGCCGCTTCGACATTAGCAAGACATCGCATCCCGACTCTCAGCAGACAGATAGTGTAAGTGTCCTCAAGAACCTCAAAACCATGGGTAGTAGCTGATTATCCACCTGAAGCTTCATGTAAAGGGCGGCTTCTTCATCGAGGAAGATTTGACCGAGTTCGATGCGCCATTCTTCAACCTTACGGCGGAGGTCGCGAAGTCCATGGACCCACAGCTGAGGATAATGTTGGAAGGAGTATACAATGCGACTGAGAGTGGTAAGCTAGCAAACCGTTCCCACGATGTGTGATCCGGCCAAAGCTAACACAATGACAGCTGGAATTCCCATCGAGAAGCTTTCCGGCTCGAACACCTCCGTATATTCTGCAACCTTCGGCAGAGACTATGCCGAGATGTTGATGAAAGATGCGGACTCAATGCCCACATCTCTCGTCACTGGAAACGGTCCAGCCATGTTCGCCAACCGTGTTTCACATTTCTACAACCTGATGGGACCCAGTGTCACCGTCGACACGGGATGTTCAGGTGGTCTAGTAGCCCTGCACATGGGTGTCAACAGCATCCGGAATGAAGAGTCGGAAGTTTCCATCATTGGAGCCTCCAACGCAATATTGAACCAAGACTTCTACATCGCCATCTCGAATCTGGGTCTTCTACACGAAGATGGGAAGTGTTATTCCATGGATCATCGTTTCGGTGGTTACGGCAGGGGCGAGGGCATGGCCGTGTTGGTTTTGAAGAAGTATTCCGCGGCAGTCAGGGATGGCGACCACATCCACGCTTTGATCCGCGAGTCTGCTGTCAACCAGGACGGCAGAACCGGAACGATAACGTCTCCCTCCATGGACGCGCAACAGCAGCTCATCAAGCAATGCTATAGCCGGGCAGGAATCGACCTCTCATCAACAGGCTACGTCGAAGCCCACGGTACAGGGACCGGGGGTGACGCTATTGAAGCCGAAGCCTTAGCATTGACCTTCGGCAACTCAAGAGAGAAGTTTGACCCAATCTGGGTCGGCTCTGTCAAGAGCAACATTGGCCACACTGAACCTGTTAGCGGGCTAGCAGCAGTCATCAAAGCAGCTCTCATACTACGCCACAAGCAAATACCTGCAAATCCTACCTTCGAGAAAGCCAATCCGAACATACCACTAGAGGATTGGAAACTTCAGGTACCGACAGAGCTGACGCCATGGCCAAAGGACAAGCCGTTCAGGGTATCTGTCAACAACTTTGGTTATGGTGGAACCAATGCACATGTTATCCTCGATGCGCCCCCGAGCCCTGGCGAACAACGTCGCTTCGCACTCCAGAATGGCAACGGCGAGATCTCCAATGGACATGCCAGCACTAATGGACATGCCGACACCAACGGGCACCCAAGTACCAATGGCCATGCCCTCAGCAATGGCCATGCGAGCAATAGCATTGACCAACCTTCCGGCAGCTCTACCGAACCGTCATCTTTGGTCTACATGCTGAGCGCCAAAGAAGAGGGTGGCGCCGTCACACGGTGCAAAGACCTAGCGACGTACATCCGCAACGCTCTGCAGGAAGGGAACGCCCCAGCACCCAACGATCTGGCCTACACGCTTTCCGAGCGCAGATCGAGGTTTCCATGGACCGTCGCCGTCAAGGCCCACAGTCTGGAGCAACTAGCCGACCTCCTCGAAGACACCCGCTTGAAGCCGACCCGCGCATCGTCTGCGCCAGTCCGCATAGGCTTCGTCTTCAACGGTCAAGGTGCGCAATGGTACGCTATGGGCCGCGAGCTCATGACCTCATCTGAGGTGTTCAGCTCATCCATCGATCAAGCTGAGGCCCACTTGCAAGAATTTGGTGCGCTTTGGTCGTTGAGAGAAGAGCTATCGCGTGATGTGAAGACTACCAACGTCGCAGAGATTGAGCTTAGTCAACCGCTCAGTGTCGTTGTTCAGCTGTGCTTGGTTGACTTGCTGCGGTCCTGGAATGTTATTCCTTCCGCTGTCGTCAGTCACTCGAGTGGTGAGATTGCGGCAGCATACGCGGCGGGCATTCTTTCGTTCAAGGAAGCTGTTGGCGTCGTATATCACCGTGGACGACTTGCCAAGAAGTACCAGAAGATTACAAAGCTATCGGGCGGCATGATGGCTGTTGGTCTCGGTGCCGAAGAAGTCCGGGAGTACCTGACTGATCTCTCTTCGGATGGTAAAGTGGTAGTCGCTTGTGTCAACAGCCCATCCAGTGTTACGATCTCTGGTGACATGGATGCTCTGGAAGAAGTCGCAGACCGTTTGGCAGACGATGATGTCTTCGCAAGGAAGCTGAAGGTTCCTCTCGCCTACCACTCTCATCACATGGAGCATATGGCGGAAGAGTACCAGAGTTGCCTCGAAGAACTTCTAGGACCGATCGTAGAAGGCGAGCTCGACGTCGTCTTTGCGTCTCCAGTAACCGGTGACATTGTCACTTCGCGTTCGACTTTCGAGGCCGCACACTGGGTGCGCAATCTCACCAGTCCCGTTCTGTTTTCCAACGCGTTGGAAGCATTGGTATTTGGAGCGACAAAGCCTGAGGGTGAAGCGCCAACACCGAATCATCAGGTCTCCGTCTTCCTAGAAATTGGGGCGCACGACACCTTGTCAGGTCCCGTCAGACAAACGCTCGGCGAGACACGCATGCCGTATCTTTCCTGTCTGAAGCGGCCTTTGAATGCGATTGACACTGTGCAAGACGTCGTCTGTGCCCTTGTGGCGCGAGGCTACCCTGTCCACCTCACAACAGTGAACAGACCCCAATCGAACATCTCACACCAGTCAAAGTATATCCATAACCTTCCGGAATATCCCTGGAACCATCAGACCTCCTACAAGATCGAGCCAAGGGCTTCCGAAGAGCATCGATACAAGCGCTTCAAGCCCCATGAGTTGCTTGGCAGGGCTATTCCTGGCTCAAACCCTCTGACCCCAACCTGGCGCAACTTTCTCCGTTCGAATGACATTCCCTGGCTAGTCGACCATCAACTAGAGTCAAGTGTGGTCCTTCCTGGCGCGGGATATGTGTCAATGGCCATCGAAGCAATGCGTCTTCTCAAGAGCAAGCCTGACCAAGAGGTACCTCAGTTGCAGTATCATTTGCGAGATGTAGACATCATCAATGCTCTCATCATACCACAAACGTCGAGTGCCTCGAACAGGGGAATAGAGATCCAGTTCTCACTCCGTCCCTGCAGCGACAAGGACCTGGACAACGCCGATTGGTACGAATTTGAGTTGTGGTCGGTCAGTGCCAAGCACGCTTGGATACAGCACTGCAAGGGCTGCATCACACCTAGACCAGACCACGGCGTGCATTTACTAGAGGATGCCAGAGCTTCTCTTGGCCCTGTACTGTCTCACCAGAAGCACACCAAGGAGATCGAGCCCGAGACGCTCTACCAAATTTTGCGAGATTCGGGCTTCCACCACGGACCAACATTTCAGAACATTGTTGGGAGTCGTGTTCTTCGTGAACGATCGGAAACCGAATTCTCTGTCGCTCCAGCGGCCTTTGAACGCGAACAGCAATACGTAGTACACCCAACGACACTGGACTCGATTTTCCAATGCTGTTACGCGACCCTACCCGCCGATCTCACGAAGGATGCAATGTTCATACCTCGCTCGATTCGGAAGGTGATCGTGCCGTCCCAGCTCGGTACACATGCGGACCAGCGGTTACTCGCAAGCCTGGACTGCCTGTCATCAGGCGCCAAAGGTTCAATTTTCACCGGTTCAGTGTTTCCCACAGGAGATGATGCGCACCAAACGGGATCGTTCGAGATGCAAAACTTCCGTCTCCAGCGTGTTACCCAGGCGGCCACGAGTGCGCAAGATGCGAAGTCAGCGCATCCTGCGATCCATTCCAAGAGCCGATGGGAACTCGACGTCCACTATGCTATCCCAGATGATATCAAAGACTCGATGAGGATTCCCTTAACCCAGTCTGAACTAGACTTTGCAAGGGACATCCGCGAGATATCTTACCACCATATTGCCAAAACTCTGGAGCAACTGGGACCCAAGGCTGACGACCAATGGACTTGGTATCACAAGAGGTTCTACGAGTGGATGAACTCCATCATCCTGACAGCCGACAAAGGTATCCTAATGTCAGGGAGCGACGAATGGTCCACGAGAGACAGAGCTTCGATCGAGGAACTTTGTAATCGAGTGGCCCAAACCAATGCGTCCGGAGAGTTGGTCCAGCGCGTCGGAAGCCACCTGTGTGACATCGTGCAAGGCAAGTTGACACCTTTGGAGTTGATGATGGAAGACGGACTGTTGAATCGCTACTACGAACAGCTACCGCAGCTTTGCAACGGCTCTTATAAGCATCTCCGAAAGATTGTCGACCTTTACTCTGTTGTGAAATCCGGAGCCAAAGTCATTGAGATTGGTGGCAGAACTGGCGGAGCAACATCCGTTGTTTTGGACGCTTTAGCTGCGCGATCAGAGCAAGACTCAGGCACTTCGCTGCTGGGTCATTACGACTTTACGGACATCTCTTCAGGGTTCTTTGGCGCAGCAAAGACCAAATTTGCCACTTGGGAAGACAAGATGAACTACTCCAAGCTCGACATTGAGCAAGATCCGATCGAGCAGGGTTTCGTAGCCCATAGTTACGATCTTGTAGTTGCTTCACATGTGCTCCATGCGACACCGAGCCTGGAGCGCACCTTGTCGAACGTAAGAAAGCTGCTGCGACCAGGAGGCCAGCTCGTCTTGCTCGAAGGAAGCCAGGATTCGCTCGACGTCCAGTTAATCTTTGGAACCGTTGAGAGATGGTGGTTGAGCGAAGAGCCTGAGCGCCAAACATGCCCTTACGTCAACCTGGGAGTATGGGATAAGGCTCTGAAAGCAGCAGGCTTCTCTGGCGTCGAGTTCGAGATTGGGGACTGCGAGAACCCTGAAGTCCAGTTTACCAGCACCATCTTGTCGCACGCCAAAACCCCGGATCCATTGTATCCGTCTTCAATATCCATTGTTGTACCGTCAGCTTCGGAACCTCAAGCTTGGTTGGATCAAGTATCAGGAACCGTGCAGCACGTTACTGGTTCAGCTCCCTCGGTGGAGACTTTCGATGAAGTTGAGGCAGACAGTGACCGTCTGCTCATCATGGCGCTCGACCTTAGCACACCTTTCATCGATACCATGGATCGCCATGCATTTGAAAAGCTCCGAAGTCTCCTTCTTCACTCCAAGGGCATTCTTTGGCTGAGCTTTGGTGGAGCTGTCGACGATGAAGATCCACGCTTTGCCCAAGTGACTGGTCTCTTGAGAACTCTGCGACGCGAAGATCCAAGCACACGATACGTTCGCTTGGCATGCGAGCCACCCCAACAATCATTGCCAACCGAGACCACCCTGATGCTTGCGCATGTGTTCAAGCAGAGCTTTGACTACAGCTCATCTGAGAACATCAACATTGATTGGGAATATTGCGCCAAAGGCCAGAACCTGTACGTTCCCCGCATCTATCCGGACTTTGAACAAGATCGGGCTGTCAGCGGAGGCGCAAAACCTCTTCAGCTGCAGGAGTTTAGCTACTCTGGCAAATCTCTCGTCCTACAACCATCAGGCAGCGGTGCATCTGGCGCAGAGTCCTGCTTTGTGGATACATCTGATGCGGCGGATGATCTGCCGAGTGGGTTTGTTGAGATCGAACCGAAAGCCTTTGGGCTGAACATTGTAGGGGCGAGTGAGGAGAACGAGTCGGTTGCGCATGAGAGCAGTGGTATCATTAGGAACCTTGGCCCAGACACACGAGACTCTGGACTTCGCGTTGGAGATCGAGTGTGCGGCATCTTCAAAGGACCTATCAACAACGCCGGTCGCGCTCACTGGACCAGCGTCGTCAAGGTTTCCGACAAGCTTACATGGGAGGAAGCCGCGTCCACCCCGTATGCATATTCGACCGCATGCTTAGCCCTGCGCGACATCGCAAGACTTCAGAAGCATGAGCGAGTGCTGTTACACTTTGGTACGGCAGGTGTGGGCCAGGCTGCTCTCGCACTGGCCGAGAACATCGGAGCCGAGATCTTCGTCACTTGCGGAACAGACGAAGAGCGTCAAGTTCTGCTGGAAGAATACACCATCGCTCCCAGCCATATCCTGCAGGATGAAGCAGCCTCTCTCGTGTCTGCTATCATGTCTCAGACAAACAGCGAGGGAGTTGATGTGACGCTGAGCTCAGTTACTGGGCCGTTGCTCAAGGCATCCTGGGAGTGCACTGCACCGTTTGGTCGCTTTGTGCAGATCGGTAAGGCTGATACCGAGAAGTCAAAGCATCTTGACATGTCGCCCTTTGGCCGCGGAGTGTCCATGACTGGTCTTGATACCCTCCAGTACAGCGAGATGAGAGGCGCCATGTTCCACAGGGCATTGGCGAATTCCATCGAATTGTTGCAGCACAAAGAAGCGAGACCCGCGACACCAATCAAGGTTTTCAAGCTGGCCGAGATCCATGAAGCGCTCCAGTATGTCCGAGGTGGGAGCTACATGGGTAGTGCTGTGATTCTGCCACAGCCAGGTGACGAGGTTCATGTCGTCCCGAAGGCTGAAACGTCGCTTGGCCTAGACGCTCCAGACTCTACCTTCATGATCGTTGGAGGTCTTGGAGGGATTGGACTTGCCACTGCTTCGTGGATGTTGGAACAGGGGGTCAAGAACCTGTTGATCGTCTCCCGCAATGCTGTAGCTCATCCGAAGGGGTTGGCGTTGGTTGAACAAGGTCAAGACCACGGTTGCAACGTCTATCTTCGCAACTGCGACATTGCCGACGAAGGAGCGGTCTGTAGTCTCCTCGCAGACGTGAAGGCAGAGTTACCTCCGATCCGTGGAGTTCTTCAAATTGCTGCAATCCTTGACGACACTGTCTTTGAAAGCATGACTTTCGAGCAGTGGCAGAAGGCCATTGGCCCCAAGGTCACCGGCACCTGGGCCCTCCACAACAATCTGCCTGACCTCCAATTCTTCATCACGACCTCTTCCGCCACTGCAGTCCTTGGCAACGTGTCACAGAGTAACTATACCGCTGGCGGTACGTTCCAGGACGCGATTGCTCGATACCGCACTGCCCTTGGCCTACCCGCCGTGACAATAGATCTTGGTCCTATTGACGATGTCGGATTAGTCGCACAAGGTGGAGATGTGGTGAAGAAGCGCGTGGAGAAGGCCCTTGGCATGAAATGTCTTCCGATTGCCCACGTATTGCGACTATTCGAGGATGCAATCAGGAACCCAAATCGACGCCGGCCCGAAAACAGTCAGATTGTTACGTGTATCACTGGATACAGCAAATTGGTTGACGACCCAGCGGTGAAGAACGACCGTCGATTGGGAACCCTGCGACTGGGCGATGACACCACGACAGAAGCCTCAGCTCAGGGACAGTCCGAATCCTCCAAGAACATCGATGGATTGGTATCTCAGTTATCGGCACTGTCGGCGGGTGACAACAAAGCGAAGGAGATCGTCAAGGACCTGCTAGTAGCCAAGGTTGCGGACTTGTTCAATCTGGAGACGAGCGCTATCGACACCGCTGATGCGCTCACAAGTATCGGAGTCGATTCCCTGGTTGCTGTGGACTTCCGGAACTGGTTGGGTAGCGTTGTCAAAGCTAAAGTCAGTATCTTCGAGATTCTGCAAACACCGTCGCTCAGCGAGTTCGCTAGCTTGGTCGCGGAAAGGAAAGGGTAGACGCAAAGCATTTGTTTTCAGACTGGATCGCGCGTAGAACTGGGGCGTTCATGGTGTTGTACGAATATTCTTGCATATTATGATTAGCTAGTTATTCAATCACTTACGATCTGAGAATCGGGCCCTCATCATGCGCGTCACGTGTCGATTGTAAATTTCCGAATTGCTCGAGTCCCCATCTTATCCAGGAAGAATGCGCGTATGTCGGGCGGAATGCACCTCAATCGCGCGATGTCATGCTGCTGGTGCGTGTCGGGACGGGGGGACAAAGTTTCGCGTCTGGGGGCGCGTGTCATAGCGGCGTGGTGCTTGGCGGGGCGATGCCGGACGTTGAACTCGCTTCCCCGACGACTTTTTTTGAGAGCGGGTATCGTTTGGCATCTTATCTCTAGCTCCCGTTCTTCACTGCTCGGTACCGCAATTGCCTTGCGCTGTTGCTCCCTCTCATACCTGTCAATTGCACATTCCTCCTTTGCTCGAAATCTTCGACCATGACGCCATCACCCTCCGAAGCCGCCGCAAAGGTTGCGCAAGTCGCTGCCGGCACCAACTCGTCCGCAAAGGTGTACAAGAGGGAGTCCAACACAGCTAGGGTCTTGGGTGCAGGTACATTGGCCATTCTGGAGTCAACATAGCATATCTGACACGAGCAGGATGTGCGGGAATCGCAGAGCTCATGGTCTTCCACCCGGTCGACACCACGGCGAAGCGGTTGATGAGCAACATTGGCAAGGTGCGACATGTGGACCATACAATACCCTGACGGCCTCTGACTCGAACACATGTAGATTGAGAACGCAGCACATCTGAACAAGGTCGTCTTCAGAGACGCAGCCGGTGCCTCGGTCTCTGGGCGATTCCTCTCACTGTTCCCTGGTCTTGGATATGCCGCCGCATACAAGGTGCGTTGAAAAGTGCAAGCACATAAGAACTCCGACTGACGACGATAGATCCTTCAACGAGTATACAAGTTTGGTGGACAGCCCTTCGTACGCGACTACCTCGCCCACAACCACGGTGACAGCTTCGACCGCGCATTCGGCAAGGGCAACGGCAAGGCTATCATGCACGCGACTGCCGGTTCCATAATCGGTATCGGTGAGATTGTCCTCCTGCCATTGGATGTTCTCAAGATCAAGCGACAAACCAACCCTGAGGCTTTTCGAGGCCGTGGGCTGTTCAAGATCATCTCCGACGAAGGGCTCGGGCTGTACCGTGGTTGGGGATGGACGGCAGCACGTAACGCTCCAGGATCATTCGCAGTATGTACACCACTCTGCTGACAGCTGTCCGAATACTAACACCCCCCAGCTCTTCGGTGGATCCGCTGTCGCCAAGGAGTACTTCTACAAACTCACCGACTACAACTCGGCATCATGGTCGCAAAACTTTGTCGCCTCCATCGCCGGAGCCAGCGCATCGCTCGTCGTCTCTGCCCCTCTCGATGTCATCAAAACGCGTATCCAGAACAGGAACTTTGAGAACCCCGAGAGCGGCTTCAGGATCGTGTCCAACATGATGAAGCACGAGGGTCCCACTTCCTTCTTCAAGGGACTGACGCCCAAGCTGCTCATGACCGGACCCAAGCTCGTCTTCTCCTTCTGGTTGGCCCAAACACTGATCCCTGCTTTCGGCAAAATAATGTAATATGTAGCGATGAACTTGTCCTGATGTCTGTACTATATGGGGGTTTCGGGTTACGGTGCTTTAGAGCTGGCAGGTTGGGCTACGTCAAAGGCAACGACGTACGACGGACCGCACACTGCTGCAAACGAATGACACATTCTCCATTCCATGATAAGCAGGGTGAAGGCTACCCATAATCGATGGCGGTGATGCGTGCCATGGCTGGGTGACTGGGGCGGTGGACCCTGGCGGCTGTCACGTGGGTGCACTGATGGCACCCACCTGGCACTGTACAGATGATGCGTGATCTGCGAGTGTCTTGCACTGGCAACAAGACAAACCAGAGCCATACGTCAGACAGCGTACGGGCGTCTCACTGGACAAAGTTAGGCGGCAGATAAGCGGGCGTGAATGTGATGTTGATGGCGCGACAAGCTACGGCAACTTGTGACCACGGATTTGGGCCTGGCTGAATGCCAAGCTATTCACATCTGGTATCCGCGCATTGCACCCCATCACCCTCTACTTAACACCGTCCGCCTCGACGACCCGCGATACCCCACAACGACTGCCTCTGACCACCCCCAACTTACATCTCTTAGTCTCTTCCCTCTTTCCACCCCCGCAACACCGCCATCATGAACCCTGAGTGGTACGTAACCTCCGCGCGACGCCCACCGCCACAGGCCGGGGAACAGCGCCGCCAAATCTGGGGTGCGACTATGCTAACGTGAAGACTCGCAGAGTTACTTTTTCCCATCGACGACAGCCCTGGTGCTGCCCGTCTTGCCATGCAAGGCTCCCGCTGACGGCTCGCTTCCCCAGATACGACTACCTCTTCAAGCTCCTCCTCATCGGTGACTCTGGTGTCGGAAAGTCGTGCCTGCTCCTCCGTTTCGCCGACGACACATACACTGAGAGCTACATCTCGACGATCGGTGTCGACTTTGTGCGTTGTCCCACGCACCTGCAGCCCAGGTCGGCGATGATCTAACAAGCACCAGAAAATCCGAACGATCGAACTCGATGGCAAGACGGTGAAGCTACAGATTGTACGTACCCTGTAGAATGCAGCGTCTGGGCGTGAGTGCTGACAGTCATCGCAGTGGGATACCGCTGGCCAGGAACGCTTCCGAACCATCACATCCTCGTACTACCGCGGCGCCCACGGCATCTGCGTCGTCTACGATGTCACCGACATGGACTCTTTCAACAACGTAAAGCAGTGGCTGCAGGAGATTGACCGATACGCAACCGAGGGCGTCAACAAGCTGTTGGTGGGCAACAAGTCCGATATGGCGGACAAGAAGGTTGTCGAGTACACCGTAGCAAAGGTACCGTCATCTCACTAACCCCAGAGGATGCACGCCATCTAACAGCTCAAATAGGAGTTCGCAGACAGCCTCGGCATCCCCTTCCTCGAGACCTCCGCAAAGAGCGCCACCAACGTCGAGCAAGCTTTCCTTACCATGGCCCGCCAGATCAAGGAGCGCATGGGTACCACAACCGCCAACACCAAGCCCACAGTCCCCATCGGCCAGGGACAGGGTGTCCAAAACGGATCTGGCGGTGGTTGCTGCTAGAGAGAGAGGAAGAGTTGTTATGTGTCGGAGAACGGATCGGTGTCTACGGAAGAGCAATGCACGGCGTGGGTGTTGAGCTCCCGCCTTCACGCCATGCGAGGATTGGTGCAGTACTACGATAATGCTCACTGATACATGACCGCCATGTCTCCCATTCGTCACCATCTCCACGTTTCCATCCCGAAGTTGTGTGCCAGCATGGCGACATCCGATCGCATAGAATGGGGGCTCTCGTTTGGATTTCTGGGATGTGCTGGTGTCTGCATTACAATTTGTGGTGGCCACTAGGTCTCTTTCCTTCGGTGTCTCAGGTGTTCTTTAATATGGGCAATCAGACTTCATCTCCTAGATCTTTGATGCTTGTTCCACAAACACAAACTTGCGCTTAAGTGATGTGAAGACGCCAGCTCAGCCACCATACGGCTGATGAGAAGTATTTATCAATAAGTTAGGTGCTAACATCCTACTTATCAAGATCGTTGCGCAATATTTTTGACAACTGACTCGCCCTTGACGCGCCCTTTGACATCTATGGATGCCGAGTGTCCTTCGCTCCTTCCCGCATCCGGTAGAATGCAGGCGCTGACGTATGACGCGAAACTCGACTAGGCCCCAGGCCTCCAGGCAGCACTAAACACTCCGGTCCGTCATAGCTTCGCAAAAGCAGTCATAACACGAGCCTCTTCTCTTCTTTTTCGTTCTTTGACCCTTCTAGCCTTCCCAATGCCTTAGAGTGCTGGTGTACCAACCCCACCACGCTCATAATACCCACCCTACCCTGAACCTCGGAGCATGTCTGTTCGTGATGCGCCTGTCAAAGCGGCACAATGGCTCGGCCGCGAACTGGGACTCGCGACAATGAAGCACGCTGGAAAAGACGTCTACATCCTCATTCTGGCACGGTACATCCGCCTTTTTGCCTACGGGAGCGTAGCACTTATCCTCGCACTCTTCTTCCAAGAGCAAGGGTTCTCAGACGAACAAATCGGACTCTTCATGTCATTGACGTTGCTGGGCGATGTAGTCATCAGCCTCCTCCTCACACTTGTCGCGGATACGCTAGGACGGCGCCGAACATTACTCCTTGGGGCCGTCTCTATGGCAATATCCGGCGCTGTTTTCGCAACAACAAGTAACTATGTGGCTTTGCTTCTAGCAGCCATCATCGGTGTCATCAGTCCTAGTGGGAACGAGATCGGTCCGTTCAGAGCTGTGGAGGAGTCGACGTTAGCGCACCTGGTAGCCGAGGACAAGAGGTCGGACGTGTACACTTGGTATGTCGTCTTGGCTGTACTGGGCACGTCAACGGGGTTGGCAGTTGGTGGTGTTGCGGTCGACAACTTACAGGCTATCGAGGGTTGGACGGATCTGGATGCGTATCGCGCCATCTTCTGGATTTACACTGGTGTCGGGTGTGTCAAGGCTCTGATGACTCTCTTTTTGAGTCAAATGTGCGAACATAGCGACTGGAACGATGAACGGAACAAATCTCCTGCATCAGCTGAGACCGAGCCGTTGCTGAACGGTGATGAGCAAGAGAACCAAGATACTGCAACTCAAGATGCAGCCCCCAAGAAGCCTAAGAAGTTTTGGCATTCACTAAGCAAGATCTCCAAGTCGAGTCGCGTTGTCCTCATCAAACTGTGCAGCTTGTTCTTCCTGGATTCTCTAGGCTCGGGAATGGTTCCCTTCAGTCTCATCAACTACTACATGGAGCGGAAATTTGATCTGCCAAAAGGGAAGCTGGGTGGCATCATGTCTGCAACATGGTAAGTGCATATTCAACCAAATCGTATCCTAAATCACATACTCATGAATATACAGGTTCGTGTCGACGCTAGGCAACGTGTTCGCCTCAAGCCTGGCCAAACGTCTCGGATTGATCCAAGCAATGGTCTTCACTCATCTGCCTTCTTCTATATTCCTCGCGCTACTGCCTGTGCCATCGGGACTAGCGTTAACCATCTGCCTACTCGTTGGCCGCTCTGTGCTCAACTCTATGGATCAGGCACCTCGATCAGCCTTTCTCTCGATTGTGGTCTTACCAGAAGAGCGAACAGCCGTTATGGGCGTAGTCAACATACTCAAGACACTATCCCAAAGTAGCGGCCCGAGTCTAACCGGAGTACTTGCCGGCAATGATCATTTCTGGGTTGCTTTCGTTGCAGCTGGTAGTTTGAAGGCGACGTACGATTTGCTACTTCTCGCGTTCTTTGGTGGGAGAGTACAGCCGCGGAGTGAGGAACCAGAAGCGATTAGTGGTGTAGAGGAGGATGAGACTATTGATGAGCCCGCGAATGGACACAGGACTACTTGATGTACCTCGAATGGAATTGACGGAAAGAACAAGAAAATGCAGCTAGATCCCATCTTGAGCCATGTTCAACCGAGTTTACAGTTTCTATCATCTCAACGTGCCGTTCGACGCTACACCGCCAGGTACGGGTGAACGCCAAAGGCGCTACCTCGGCAGACTTCTTCTTGGGCTCACTTGAACGATTCCTTGTGTACACTGGCAACAACCTCCGACATCACAGCTATCAGCAATTCACTACGGCGCGGTCGCTATTGCCGATTTTCGGTGTGGCTGATCCTAGTGTATACCTAGACATACATACTCTAGTAGCCCAGCTCAACGGTCAGCTTGTCGGCCACCGCTCCGATCGTGAACGCCCACGCTCTGGCCAAGGGCAGGCCAGCTGGGCATGCACCAGGCGTGCCACGAGACCATGTGAGCGAAGAATTACCCGAGCCACCAGCATCCGTCTCTGTCTTCCTAACCCATAGCAAGAAGGTCGCATATGGGACGACCCAATCACGTCCGCGCACGGCCGCAGGAGATGAAAGCTCCACCTGTCTGCACGCGACCCAGACCCTGGCTTGCATGGTTCGCCGCTACAGCCACGCTTACCCGAAAGCCATGCTAGACCCCGCAAAATTTTATGCTTAAAGACCGCCTCATGTCCTACCACCCAATGTCACGGTAGCAGTTTCCCCGGATTTCTCTTTACTTTCGTCCTGGTTCGAGAGTGTGTGGAGCAGCGTTGCAGCACCCCACTATCGTTCCCAAAGCAGCCCTGGTCGGATCGCCCATCGGCCCGATCTTCCTCCGGTTTGGAAAGAGAGAGTCGACAAGAAGAGCAGTCATGGCGGAAGAGAAGGATATTCAGCCTACTACCGCGCCCCCATTCGAGCATTATGGGGAGACTGAGGAGTCCGATCACAAGCGCGCTGCTAACAAGCTTGTTGGCGATGCGCGGCTTGCTACGGAAAATGAGCGCAAGATGACGCTGATGCAGGGTATCAAACTCTATCCCAAGGCGATTGGATGGTCTGTCCTTATCAGCACGTGTATCGTCATGGAAGGCTACGATGTCTGCCTGCTGAACAACTTCTTCGGGTTCCCGCAGTTCAAACAAAAGTACGGCGAGCAGCTTCCGGACGGGTCTTGGGAGATTCCTGCGCCATGGCAAGCTGGACTGTCGAACGGAGTTATCGTGGGCGAGATCATCGGTCTTTTCCTCAATGGATGGATCAGTGAGGCTATCGGATACCGCTACACTGTCATGGGGTGCTTGCTTCTGATCATTGGGTTCACCACCATCTTCTTCACGGCTCAGACGGTGGTGCACTTGCTGATTGCGGAGATCCTCTGTGGTATCCCGTGGGGTGTCTTCCAGACACTTACTATCACATACGCTTGCGAGGTCTGCCCTGTTGCTCTGCGCGGATACTGTAAGTTTACAAAAATCTACTCCCATGAACACAAGCTTACACTGATCAGTAACTACCTACGTCAACTTCTGCTGGGGTCTCGGCCAAGTCATCGGTATTGGCGTTATCCGCTCCATGGTCGACCGACCAGATGAGTGGTCCTACCGCATCCCATACGCTCTCCAATGGATGTGGCCTGTCCCCCTCATCATCGGTGTCTTCCTAGCACCCGAGTCGCCATGGTGGCTCGTTCGCAAAGGACGAATTGAAGATGCGAAGAAATCCCTGCTCCGACTCACCAGCCTGGACCGAGAAACCGATTTCGATGCCGACGAAACGGTAGCCATGATGGTGCACACGACTGCGCTCGAAGAGAAGATCACGCAAGGAGCCAGCTACTGGGACTGCTTCAAGGGTACTGATTTGCGTCGTACTGAGATTGTCTGCATGGCCTGGGCGATGCAGAATTTGAGTGGAAACGCTTTCTCGGGTTACTCTTCCTACTTCCTCCAACAGGCCGGTCTACCCGCATCGACTTCGTATGACTTCGCAATGGGTCAGTACGGTATCAACATGGCCGGTGTCTTTGGCGCTTGGTACCTCATGAAAGTCGGTTTCGGACGTCGAACACTCTACCTGGGTGGTCTCTGTGGACTGTGCGCTATGCTGTTCGTCATGGGTTTCCTTGGCCTTGTACCAGCCTCCCAGCGCGAGACGGGCGCCATGGCTACCGGAGCCATGATGATCGTATGGGCTATGTTCTACCAGTTGACCGTCGGCACCGTATGCTACTCCCTCGTTGCCGAGCTATCCACCCGCCGCCTCGCCATCAAGACCGTGGTACTCGGCCGCAACCTATACAACGTAATCGGCATCATCACCTCCGTCCTCACGCCCTACATGCTCAACCCCGGAGCCTGGAACTGGTACGTCCCTCCCTCTCTCCCTTCCTCTCCTTCTTCCCTCTGCTAACCACACCCCAGGGGCAACTACGCCGGATTCTTCTGGGCCGGCTCCTGCTTCCTAAGTATCGTCTACACCTACTTCCGCCTGCCCGAACCCAAGGGCCGCTCCTTCGCTGAACTCGATCTCCTCTTCGAGAAGCGCATCAGCGCGCGCAAGTTTGCAAGCACGACTGTCGATGTGTTTGAGGACAGCCATATCCAGGGGACTGCTGCTTTTGATCGCTATGAAGAGAAAGTTGATGCTGCTGTGAGAACTGAATCTGTTGCTGTTGGTGTTTCGAAGGTTTAATGACATGAAGATTTAGGGTGCGTAGGTAGTGAGTGGAGGGATGTGCATGAGGGGTTGATAGGGTCGTTTGGTATCACTTTAATCGAACTTCTTATCACGATTTGTTTCACTCTGCGACTTGCTTCGTGTGGTGGAGCAATGCAATGCAATGCACACGCGTGCGTCTTCTTCTCTATGCAGTATAGCTCTCAGATGAGCTACTGGGATCCCTGTCATGTAAGGGTGCTACGAGGGCGGAACCTTGTGCCGCGGACGTGCATATCCTCCGTCTGTTATCATCTCCCCGCAGTATCCTTCAACGAACTCTCCTTACCTCCATCAGCCATGTCGTCCACAGAATGGCCGTTCGAACGCGTCTTGCCCGACGGTTCCGTCGAATTCGAAGGGATCGGAGTCAAGTGTAAATTCAACGAGGAGTTCAGCTCACGAACAAAGTACGGTCCATAAACTCCAACCTCGGTCGCTATCTCTGCTAATCGCAAAAAAAACGTGTAGATGCATCGCCTCCCCTTTACGACGCAAAGAAGCAGTGGAAGCGGCAATCAGAGCAAGAAAATCCTGTCAAGCACTGACCACCAAGATCCACGCTTCATTACCGCTCGAGCTCCGCAACATGGTATATGCGTATATCGTTGGGCCGAAAGCCCAACCTTGTGAGCTGGATGGTAAGCGTCATGTATACGGCAGCAAAGTGCGCATCGGAAGATTCGATTCGAACTGGTGGGTGAACGAAGAAGAATGCGCACATGTGCAGCCCAAATCCTGGGCTATGGACCCTGCATACTTTGGAACGCAGGTCGCGCAAGAGCTCGCCGAAGTGTATTACACCACCAACACTTTCTACATCACGTCGGATGAGAATATGAGCAAGTTGTTCCAAGCAGACCCTTTCGCACTTGGCATAAAGCCATACGAGCTCATCCTCAAGTTCACGCTTATGCTCAACTTCTACGAAACCAAACTAGAGAGCGAGGATGAACTGATGGCTATGCACAAGAACCTCCAGTTGCTCCAGCTTTTGCCTACAAAGCGAAACCACGAGATTTGCATTCGCCTTGAGACATCATTCCATCCGTCAGGGAACAAGCCCTATTCTTATTCAATGGAGGACAGCCGGGTCATGCTCAATATTCTTGAGTTGCTGAGGCAGCCTGTGTATGACCTGTTGCATAGAGGCAAAGCGATTCGAATCTTCCAAGCAAATCTCGACCACATGGATCCTACGAGTTCGAGGAAGATCAGTGATGTCTCTGTGAGATACTTGATCAACCCCAAGAAAGGGGGCGGGTAGATTGTGGCCAAAGGGGCATTTTTTCAGTATGACAGAGGAGGAGTGGCATAAGGTACGTGGATTGGTTAGCGCAATACTTATCTGTGAGGCATGTTCCTGACAGATCATAGGAGAAAGAAGAGAACAGTGGTGGAGATCCGAGAGGGCATTTTATCTATCGTGCGCCTGCTGCGGAGGACGCGCAGGAAGCAAACAACGCAGCCGACGACGAGAGCGATGACGAAGGCCCCGGCATACCATACCTTCGCGGTTTTGACTTTAAGCGACATTTTGCACTCGACGCCGAAGCCACGCTCAAGGTGCGCGAAGCCCTGAGAACGCGGTGGCACGAACCGGATGCTTTGACTGGGTTCAAATATAGCAGGCACGGTGTACACAACAAGGACTTTGAAGGGCCATTTGGATGGGAGGACAAATTGTGTCGCTGGTGGCGACGAGATGCTTAACCCAACTTGACTGGATGATTTTGCGCCGGACACTTCGTGGCGTTTATGCGAAGTAGGGGTTTCCATGCGGAAACTATGGTTGTTGGTACTGACCCTCGCATGAAGTCCATCTTTCCATTGTCCGCGGAGCGTCGACGATGGAAAGCGAACGTCACGTTATATCAAATCGATAGAAGTGCAGATTTATGAGAAGGCAACTACTGGTATCCTCAGCAATTATCTACATATTGTCTACGCGAGCAATGCGAAGAGCAGATACGTCTTCTTCGCGTAGTCTGCCGCGTTCTTCCTCAGCCTGGTCATAGCGACCTCGTCCAACTCTACCGTATTGGTTTTCTGTACCAGCGCGGTGAGTTTGGCGTCTGCACCCGTGTCACCAACGAAGCGTTGGATGTAGAGAAGATCGAAAAGCAGTTGTTTGACTCTCTGTTCTCTTGCTTCGCTGTGGCTTGGGGATGGCGGGGTGACGTCTGCTTTCTCGCTATCGTCCGTGGTTTTGGAGTCTTCGACTCTCTCTTCCTCTTTGTCTTCGTCTTTCTTCTCGACAGAAGGGCTTTGTTCTTTCGTAGGCGCGCTAATGGCGCCGAGATGCTCCTGAACCGTTTTGACTACTTCGGCGGCGACACTACTTTTCAGTACCTCGACGCTGCCAGGTGCCCATACATCACTACCCAGCGCGCCCATGTCTTTGTTCAGACCTCGCAGGAATCTAAATGCGCTGGGTGACGGCTGGCTCGGTAGTGGTGGGTGTCCTTCCCACAGGATGTGGCTGTTCGTCTTCACTTTGAGTGAGCCTTCAAGTGATGTCTTGTATGCTTCTACACTCGGTTGCGTCACGCACAAAGCCAGTGTCGTATGCAAAGGTTGAAGAATCTCTGACGTAAAGGGTGACGCAAGAGGTGTGGCTTTATCTTGGAGGCGTAACCGCGGTATGCGATCGCCGATCTCCCTGACTACGCGCAGCATGAAAGTGGCCTTTTGTGTTGATTGCTCACCATCAGACTTCTTCACGATAGTATTGAAGCTCTGGCTTAGGTTTTGCATGGCTTCGCTCAAGGCTTCCTGGGTCGCTTCCTCGAGCAGTTTTGGATCGTCATCGCTGAGGAGCGCTTGCTTCGAATCGCCAAGCTCATCGTCGGATTCGTCGTCCACATCGTCTGCGAAGGTATCGTCCCATCGCGCTTCCTTCATGCTCTTGACGATGCCCTTGACTTCCAGGATAGACTCCATCCACTTGTCAAAGGCAGAAGTTACGCTGATTACAGACTCATCGCGCCCTTGGTAGGTGTTGAGGATAGCGGATTTGAAGTTTTGTGCCCCGTTGCTCAGATCAGAGGCCTTGGTAGTGGTATCCCATAGCGAAGGTGCCACGACCTTGTCTGTTGAAGCCACCGTGTCCAGTCGAGTCGTCAGTTCGGTAATGACAGTTTGAAGCCCATGTGTGCGCGATCGCACTATACCCTCAAGCTTGTCGTTCATCGTGTCTCGTAGATCGTCTAGAACGTTGGCCGACTTGACACCCGCCATTCGCGAGCCAGACAATATCCAGGTCTCGATCAGCTCTTGCCTCAAGTCTGCAACCTCTTTGAGTCGTTCTTCGCCCTCTAGTGCCTTTTGCACACCCTTGAGGAAAGCGGCAATAGCGTCCTTTGACCATCGGTGCATTATCCGCTCTGCTTCCGGCCGCTGCAATTCGTCATGTCTCGGCCATGGCGTGTAGTTCCGTGCCTCATCGCCTAACCACCGATCATGTACATCGAGGTTCAGCTCGTAGAGACCGCGGACGTCGGGGTCCTGGATCAATGGCTGCGCCTTTAGCTTTGCTAGAGCCTCTGCCAAGCGCCGTGGAAAGACGGTTTGTGTATCGAGGCAAGTCTGAATGCACAGCTTGAGCGCGCTAATGCCATGCTTCGCAAGCTCATCGCCTCCTGCCCTCAGCTCGCTGTTCATTTTGTCCAATCGCATCTTATGGAAATGGTGTAGGACATCGGTCGGGGTGGAGCTCGTCGCGAGCGCGTAGGCACACATGCTTTCGAGCAGGCTGGCTGTTTCGCCGTTCGTGTTCGAGAGGCGCTTGTCAATCCTCCTAAGAAGCTTCCGCCGTACCGACAGCAGTCTCTCCCACAGCTGATTGACAATGGGCGCCTTGTTGTCGGATTGACTGAGCGACTTGTGGAGTAGTCTTGAGATGACCAGGACTTTCGCAATGAGCAGATATGATCCTTCTCTTTTCATGAGGCGCGTCATGACCACAGGCGCGTTGCGCATGACTGCGAGCTGGGCCGCGAATGTATAGCGCTCCGCATCTATTGCCCGTCAACCCACTGTCCCTTGCGCATGCATTGTTGTAGACTGACCGCGACTTCGTGTATGCGTATCCATCTTTCCCGCGTTGTTTGTGATCTTGTCCAGGCCCCGCGAATTGCAGCTCTGCCCTACTCTTGAAAGCCTACTTTCCACCTGCTCCATGCGCACTTCCATATCGATGATCGTACCGGCCGTGTCGAGGAGACTGCGATAGCTTGCCCTGCAGTTCTGTCAGCCTCTTCCATCTCTATCCACTTGTTGGCCTGGCATTTCGTACCCGACAAGCGACCGTAGCTTTTCTCGATTGTCGTCGGCATTGTTGCGGAGCTGCTGTTCAAGCTTGCGGACGATGGGAATGGGGTATTGGAACGCGTCCTCCCACGTCTGAAAGGTTCGTGGGTCTGGCGTTTCGGTCGCCATTGGCGTCGGGTACTGGAAGGCGCGTGTTGGCGTCGCAATGCTACACGTAGAGGTACGCGGCGATGCTACGTCTCCCCACTAATCGCGTGCTTAGTCATCGCGCCTACCCATCACACAATTGCCAACTGGAACAGTTGACTGATTTGCGAAGGTAGTACATGATCAAAGAAGGGGCTTTGAACATAATCGTTGTGTAAAATACATGATGGCATTGGTGTTGAAACCAAGAAACTCTATCTCTATACTATCTCAAAACATGGTATCACAGGTTAAGCTCAAATGACTCCGCCCATCCTAACTCCTACCAAACGAATCATTCTCCATCTGGAATAAAGCCTGCCGTATCACCTGTGGCATTCCGTCGTCTGAGCTCGCGTTCAACAGCCCTCAACATGAGCTGCGCATCGTCGAGCGTCAATTCCTCTCCACCCCTCATGCTCGCCAACAGCTCCGCAAATTCCGGGTCATCAGGCTCGATGATCTCAACCCTTCTGCCCTTTTTCTTTGGTTTTGGTGGTGGCAAGGGCATGAAAGCCCTATTTGTGCTGCCGAACTTGGCAATCATCTCCTCAAATTCACCTTGTGGGGTGCTCTGGCTTGTGACAGCCCCGCCAGCACCGATGCGCCAGACGTCTTCTTTGTCGTCCTCCTGGTCGTCGTCGATCTTGATAGCAGTACGGATGACGACGTTGAAGTCGCCGCCTCCTCCGACGTCAAGATACCCGAGAACACCAGAGTATATGCCTCGTCTCACACCACTCTCCACATTGTGAAGGATTTCGCATGAGCGTTTCTTGGGCGCTCCAGTCATACTTCCTGGTGGCAGACTCTCGACGAAAGCGTCGAACCCTAGGTATGGAACAGAATGTTTGGTCGGCTTTTTGGAAGCGTACTCCACAGGGTCTTCCCAATCTTCAGGGGTGGTGGGCTTGTAGATTCCGCTGGGTACTGCGTCGACGACTGAAACTAGTTGCCACAATGTTTCGTATTCCTCGACTTCCATGAGCTGGCTCACTCGGACGTTCTCGGAGCCGTAGACGCCGTGAAGTTGGTGGCGAGTAAGATCGACGATCATGAGATTTTCTGCGCGTTCCTTAGACGATGAGAGGATGTCATGGGCCATCTCGTTAGTGACACCTGGCTTCTTCTGCACTGTTCCTTTGATCGGCCGGCATTGTGCAGTTTGCGATCGGTCCCAGCTTATGTACCGCTCTGGTGAGGAGCACAAAATATGTACGTTATGCATCCTCATGTAGGCGCTGAATGGCGCTGGGTTCTGACCAGTCAGACGTTTGTAGAGGTTCCAGGAATGTTCGTTGTCCTCCGAGTGAGATATTCTGCACGCTGTTGGCTTGCGAGCGCGGACCTCGTTGCGAGTCGTGAGACACAACTCGTAGCTCTGGCCGTCTGCTATCGAGTCTTTGCAGGCACTGACTTTATCGCAGTAGTCGTCTTGGCCAACTGTGAGCTGATGACACGACTCAATGTACTGGTGCATGGTGCCGTGCGTCTCGAAAGGATCGACCTGTCTCATTGCGGCAGAATTCGGGGTAGTCTCTCGTGATTTGAAGCCTGCATGCTCATACAGTCTCTCTATGGTGTTGATAACCCAATCTTGGTCACAGGGACCGCGGATACTTTGAACATAGATCTTTTTGATCTGGTGGTCGAAAACAATACTCCTTGTTATGTAGGCGAAGCAGATGTCCGGATATGAGGCTTCTTCGTGGCCCTGAACGTCAATTGTTTCTAGGCCAGCCTCGTAAGATGCATATCCCATTAAACCTCCCCAGAAAGGAGCCCATGTTGAACCCTGTGGCGGAGTCGAGGGCTGGAGGCTCTTCATGACTTCTCGTACGTAGGGCCAAGGGTCGGCTACGGTCCAGTCTGTATGCACTTGGTCTTTACCATCTCTGAGCTCCATTCTGCGGGTGCCAGCGTAGTAATGAAGGCGCAGAGTCTCTTCTGGGATGACGACACCAATAATGCTGTACCTGCCTGTTCCCACAGCCATGGGCACGAGGTTCGATTGCAGTCCTGACTCCAACACTATGGCTTCGCCTCTTGATAACTCGAAGAGTTCACAGGCATCCGCAACGGTAAGTCGTCCACTTCCCGTGGTCGCACAATGCACAGTGCTCGGTGGTAGATCCGGTAATGACTGCCCGTCCCCGTGCGCAATGAGCGAAGCTAGCTCAAACGGTGTGATTGTGTCGCTATCAAGCTTTGCGACGAAATCGGTGTAAGAGCGTTTGGTCTGTTTCTTCGTGCCG